TTAAATGTCGATGAATGAGAAGAAGAAGAGTTGCAAGAGATTGCAGGAAGAAATTTTTCCAGCAAGAATTTGCAAACTCTCACTGAAAGAACTGTCAAAATGTCTCTCTCCAACCGCTCTCTTTTGCAGAACTTTTGGGTTAACAGACGACTTCCAGTAACAATTTGTAACAATTGTTACAAACTTTAGGGTAACCAGACACACCTATTGTAGTATTTTTGTCGAGTTCTGTAAAGTATTTTTTATAACACGGGACATATGGAAGGTTGTTTTTTAGATTTTAAATTTTGCCATTTATTTATATCAGATTGCCAGGTTATACATTATATACTTAATGTCTTCAGTATCAAATAGATTACTAAATAAACATTCTGCTTTGCCAATGTAGGAGACTACGATAATATATGGAAGGATGTTAAATCTTTTGTTGGAAGAGTAAATAGTTTTAATGGTATTTAAATAAATCATGTAAGCTTTCCTCCATTCAACAACTTTAAAAAATATAAACACTTTTTTTAAATATGAAAAACAAAAGTATGAAAACAAAAATATTTATTTTACCCTGCAAACAACTCATTAAATTCAATTACCCAAAATCCAAAAAGGTATTTGAAATCAATAGCATTTATTAATTTTAAATAGATCAATCGATCATCTGCAACCGAACGCCAAAAGACGTCACACAAATGAACCGACGACAAACCGACAGACAGACAAACGCAATATTTGCGATCTCATTATCTTGGGTAAATAATCGAACAGATTTTGATCTCAAAAACAAAGCAGGCGAAGAACAAGACAAATCCATCGAAAAGAGTCGAAAAAAAGTAAAACATCAAAGTTAAAATTAGTTGGACTTGTGCTACATAACACACCAACGCCATCGCTAACTGAAACGAACGAGCGAACGAACGAGTGATCGTTGTAAAGACGAGGAGACATGAGAGAAATCGATTCAATCGATTTCGAATAACTCACCGAACTCTCTAATAGCGACAGACATTCGCTTTGAGGTGTAAAGTGTGTGCAACGTGTTGACTATTGAGTAAGGTTGGAGGTGAAATGGAATCGTTGGGAGGATCATGAGATTCTTAAATATGTTATAGGAAATTCAACAAAATGTATGTAGATAATTTATATTTGGCATTTATATTTATGACTACCGTGACTACTTGCATAACTATTCAATTATTTATATCCCCATCCGCAGGTATGCCTAACAATTGTTTAATTTACTTTATAATTATAATTAAAATTTATTTAAATAGCATATCTTAGCCGATTAGTCTCCATTAAGCGACCAAATGAGCACAAAAAAGAGCAGTGTGTAGCGTAGGTTTGGCACGAGCATTTCAAAGCAGGGATGGGAGATTTTCCCTATTGCTTAAAATCTAATGAAGTTTTAAGTGCGAAAGCAGCGTTGGATAATATTAGTATAATTGTAGAAGAATACAGGTAGATGCATCAACTCTTGGGAACATTGATATGTCAAAAAATTTTAAATGTTTTTAAAAAAATGTAAATTTGTATATTCCCTATACGACACCATTCGGAGTTTGACATAATATTATTTTTTTACACAATACTTATCAAAATTGAATCATTTTTCATTCAAAAATTTCAATACCACAATTAGTTTGACAGTTCATTGCCCAGCAGCTGTGTCGATGCAACTAGCTTTATCCTTCTACCATGATTAGTATGTAGATTCTGTACCAGATTTAAAAAAATATCCAATCTGGAAAGATATATTTTTGTATGGTAATTTATTATAACCAATGAATTCCAAGGATAAATCCAATTGTGTATACGTCATATCCTAAGTCCAGTGGTTTTCATTTAAAGTTTACTGGATGTAGTAATTGCCAATTCCTTTGCATATACGCCAAATAAATCCTCATAAGGGAGGTTAACCCGAGAAAAAGCTCTAATGAAAACATACTATATTACAGGTCTTTTTATCTCATAATTATTTAATTTTGATATATCCATGATACAATAAGGAGGTAGAACAGCTTCGTAAAACTACAGAAATACAGATTAATTCCTTTTTTTCATATTTTTACTCATTTTTAAAATGAGTTAAATAGCGCGAAAAATGAATGAAATGCCTGGATTTTCTGTCAAAAATATGATCCAGACTGTTCAATCTTTCATTTCATCGCTAAACCGGTTAATAGCTTTACATGTCTTCCAATCTTTGGTTTTGAAAATATTTTTTTTTATTTTTCAAAACAATAAATACATACATAAAATTGACAGAAGTCGGGTACACTTAGAAAAAAATTTAATCAGCTGTTAGCTCTACCCATGGTAGAAGAATACAGGTAGTCGCATCGACACAGCTGCTGGGACAATGAACTGTCAAACTAAATTTGAAATTGAAAATTTTTAATGAAAAGTTATTCAAATTCGTAAAAATTGTTGAAAAAGGAATATCATAATAATCTTCGATTGTCTTTGTGTAAGAAAACATATACAAATCTACTTATTTTTGAAAAAACAGTTCAAAATTTTTGACATATCAATGTTCCTAAGCGTTGATGCATCTACCTGTATTTTTCTACCATGGCTCTACCTTACCTTTTTATTGTACCATGGATATATCAATAAAAGTATATGAAAAAACTGCAACCAACTTCAGACTGCTGTCATTTCTAAGCCAGCTGTCCGATTCCAGTAACAGCTCATTATATTGTTAACAATCGTGCAAAAGCATTATGGTGATAATTTTCCAGAAAAAATATTCGTGATTGAATTCAAGCGTGATAGTTTGATCGTGATTTCTATCGTTAGACCACTCCAGCATTTAAATGTGAATAAATCTTTTGTGTCTCATACCATCGCTCGTTACCGTGATACTGGTAGCGTAGCTATGATGATGGTGTGGACCGCCATAACAGCCAAAGGTCGCTCTCCGCTCGTATTAATCGACCGTGGCATCAGAATAAATGCCGAACATTATCGCGAAAATAATCTGGAGGGTGTATTAAAGCCTTGGGCACGCAAACATTTTGGCTTCAGACCTTGGACATTCCAACAGGACTCAGCACCATCGCACTCAGCACGCGCCACCCAAGAATGGTTACAAAATGAGGTTCCTTGCTTCATTTCCAGCGCACAATAGACACCAAAATCTCTAGATACCAATCCGTTGGACTATTGTGTCTGGAGTATTTTGGAAAGCAAGGTTGGCACTAACAAATACCTAAGTGTCGATCACCTCATGCAAGCGCTTCGCCGGGAATGAGCCAAAATACCGCAGAGCAACATTCGGACAGCATGTGACGGTTTCATTGGCCGCAGGCCATAATACGTGCCAAAGGTGTCCAATTCGAACAAATCTAAACTTATTCTAAAATTTGATGCTATCTCCGACATTTTTTGCTTTCATTCAATAAAGTTTAAAAAAAAGCGTTTGACTTTGTTACGTTACACCTATTATGGGGCTAAAACGATGCCAATTTTCCCTCTTTTCCTATATTTTTGCGGATTTTCCTACGTTTATTTGCTTTTACTTTAAACGAACCTACAGATCCCTACAAATTCTAAAGAGTTGCATTTTCGCTCTAATAAAATTCGTAGCTGGCAAACATTGGCATTTTGGATATGAGCCCTCCACTTTTCGCGTCCGGTTCTCTTTTTTATTTTCCAGAAGCAAACTAGGACTTTGGAGAATTGCTGCAGGTTTTTTAAAGATAAAATAAATTTCCAGGTCATAAGCAAAAGATTTTTACTCCGCTCCATACCCTGCAAGATTCTACTAGTTTTGCACTTTTTTCGATATCATAGAGGAAGAATCGGTTATCGTAGTAAAAACTTTACGTTCTGAAATACAATTTTACTTTCATATCCACCTGGCTGTGAAGGTTTTCAGACAATCAAACTTCAGACAGATTTTTACTCTGTTCCATAACCTGCCAGAATCTTCTAATTTTGCATTTTTTGTCAATAGCATAAAGGAAAATTAGTTATTGTAGTAAAAACGTTACGTTCTGAAATACAACTTTGCTCTCAACTACTACTCAACAACTATCCACCTGGCCCTGCAGTTTTTTTTTCAGACATTCCAACTTCCCATTCATGGCATTATGAACCTTTTGCGAGTACACGGCAATTGTGTTTATCTACTCACTTGAATGCAGCAACAACGCCCATAACTCACCACAAACGAAGATACGATGCGGCAAATACACCACCATACGTTGTTGTACTGGCAAGGTTCGGCTCGTATATAAACCTTAAGTTGAACATAACGCCAATGTAGTCTGCTCAGTTACACTCAAAGGTTCAGCTGTGTAACAGGCTTCAGAGGCATAAAAATACGAACTCAACGAAATCGGTAGTGAACTAGAACTTAAATATTTGAATTTTTAAATTAATTTTTTGTAAAGGTAAGAATTGAAAAGAAATTTTGAGAAAAAAAAACTGAAACAATTAAATGAACTCGAAATAAAAAAAAAAAATATTAAATAATTGTGAAATGTGAAAGATGAATAGAAATAATGTGCACAAAGAATATTTATGAAATTTCATATTGAAACAATTTCAAAATCACAGTGACAATTTTTTTCGAAATGTGATGTAATCGATGAAAAGTGGATATATTTCGAAAACATTAAATGACAATGAACATAAATCGATGAAAGGAAAGACATTAACAAAAACTTTATTTGCCAGCGAAAGTTTATTTCTTTTCAAAATTATTTTATTTTCTTTTATTGAATTTTATTTGTAACCTAAAAAGAAATGTTAGAATACACCCAACAACAATTACAAGAAAAAAAAGTAATGTAAATCAATTGAACGACAACAACAACTTGATAAAAATAGAATGGAATTTCGAAAAATTCGATTCGATTGCCCGAATTTCAAACGTAATCAATGCAGCGGTATTATCTGATTACAAAATTTCGTAATGCGGCACATTTGTCGATCAGTGACGATCAATCGGTGCAGGTTCGTGGATCTTTTTGATAATGAATTTTATTTAGCCAACAGAAAAAAAACAAAACGCGAATATTTACAACGATTTTGTATTAAATAATTGTTTTTGTTTCAAGATTACGATTATAAATTACGCTTGTTTTTAGTAGTACATCATAACACATTTGTGCGAACTCTGTGTTATAGTAAGCGATAAGAACGTGGCTTGCTTCAAACTAAAAAAGGTAAATAAAACTATTTGAATTTCGTTATGATAACGTGGAAGTTCTGTGCAAAAATAGATTTTCTCAAAGTTTAAAAATGGGGAATCCTTGACCCGATTTTTATAGAATTTCGTTGGCGTTTGGGGATTTTTCGACAAAAGTTAAGACGTTGTTGTGTAATTTACATTATTTTAAGGTGCAAGTACATAAAAAGCTTGAAGTCATGGCTAGGCATATTAAAGTCAAATTATAATGGAAAACGACGGCAGGATTTTAGTGCGTCTCTATAATCGCTTTATAAAATGTCACAAAATATGCCTAGCCATGACCTCAAGCTTCTTATGTACTTGCACCCTTAGTTTGATTTTTTGTTCATTTTTTTGGGAATAATGGTCTAATGATCTATGATCTGGAATTGAATTCCAATTACATCCGTTACTTTCGATACTTCTACATTATTACATGTCAAATTAAACAAATCAAAGCGCCACACAAGCATAATAAATCCACTAGATTTAAACTATCAATTCCATTTCTATACGCAAAAATAAATCGACTGGCTTTACTGGATGGATAGGTGAAATCCACATTTTTGATTTTTCTGATACAATGCGGAGAATATTCAATTTCAGTAAAGGTAAGAATACATAAAACGCTTTTTTTTGACTAGCTTAAGTCATCGACTGGGTTGTTGGTAGAGGAGCTCATTTTGATCGAATGCTCATTGTGTACAGGGTGAGATCAAAAACCTGTAATAAAGTCAAACGCCATAATTTTTACATTTAATTGAATGGAAGCAAAAAATATCGGAAATAGCATAACATTTTGGAATAAGTTTAGATTTGTTCGAATTGGTCACCTTTGGCACGAATTATGGCCTTCAAACGGCCAATGAAACCGTCAAACGCTGCCCGAATGTTGCTCTGCGATATTTTGGTCCATTCCCGGCGAAGCGCTTGCTTTAGGTGATCGACACTTTCGTATTTTTTAGTGCCAACCTTGCTTTCCAAAACACTCCAGACACAATAGTCCAACGGATTGGTATCCGGAGATTTTGATGGCCAATGTGCGCGGGGAATGAAGCGTGGAATCTTATTTTGTTGTCATTCTTGGGTGGCGCGTGCTGAGTGCGATGGTGCTGAGTCCTGTTGGAATGTCCAAGGCTTTAATACACCCTCCAGAACATTTTAATATTAATATTCGGCGTTTATTCTAATGCCACGGTCGATTAATATGAGCGGAGAGCGACCATCGGCTGTTATGGCGGCCCACACCATCACCATGGCCGACGCTTGAGTTCTAGTGGCCAACCGAATCTTAACATTTTCAGCTGAATAAACTCGATAATTTTCTTTGTTTACAAACTGTTGGACAAAGAATGTTCTCTCATCGGAGAAAACCAAATTCGGCAGTTCACCACATTCGGCCAAGCGAAGCAACTCTTTAGCACTTTTGAGTCTATTTTCTTTCTGTCGCGGTGTAAGTTCTAGCACTTCTTGGAATTTCAATGAATTTAGCCCGAGCTCATTTTTCAATATTTGTCGAATGGAATATTGCGATGTGTTCAGCGCACGAGCCATTTTTCGGCCACTGCAATGCGGGTTTCGATCTTTATTCTATGTTTACGTTAGAACTTTTTGCAGGGTTAACCTACTTCAAGAGGATTTATTTGAAGTATAAGTAATGGATATGACAATTTTAATCCAAATCCTGTGTGTTAACCCATTTATATGTAAACGTACTGTTACTTTACTTTTCGAACCATTTCTGCTGATGTTGCTGTTTTCTTCCGACCGCTTCCTTGACGTCGGGCTACGCTACCAGTATCACGGTAACGGGCGATGGTACGAGACACAAAAGATTTATTCACATTTAAATGCTGGAGTGCTCTAACGATAGCCACATGGGGTTTTCCGGCCAAAAATAAAGAAATCACACTATCACGCTTAAATAACTTTTTTTGGAAAAATTCTCACCAAAATGCTTTTGTTCGCTTGTAAACAAAATAATGAGCTTTCACTGGAATAATTTTAACAGCTGTCGGACGAGTGGCTTAGAAATGCAGCAGTCTGAAATTAGTTGCAGTTTTTTCATCTCACCCTGTATGCCAAATACAGCACAGAAATACCTTTCCCAAATTTTGTAGTGATCGGTTCAGATTTAAATATTGCTCCCGTATGTATTTTCGCCCGATTTGCCGATTTATTGTGGACCAAATTGAGCCTAGAAACCTAGAAGTGTGTCAAATTTGGTGAAAATCGGTTCAGATATAGCTGTAGCTCCCATATATACTGCTCCACTAAATATGTAATGGGGCGTAGGAAATCATAAAGTCGGAACCGACCGACTCTTGGACTTCGTTTACTGTTTTTTTTAGTTCTAAGGCATTTGAACGAAATTACGTGAATTACGCACTTAAATGAAAAGAAGAAATAATTGTATCTCAAAGAGTTTTTACATCGGTATTTCCACAGCATTTTTAGATGGACAAGTTTCTCACATGTAGGCCTTTATTTTTAAATGCCTTTTTTATTATTCAGATATATAAGGAATGACACATATGTCACTGTTATTCGGAGAAGAGAAAATGGAGGATAAAGTAGTAGATATTTAATAATTACGGGTCAAACAGCGAATAAAGACCGAGTTTCGTGCTATGTGAACATAGTATAAATATGTTGATGAAAGTTATGTTTCAATACCTGGGGCCGGATTCTTGTTCTATGAAAATATGAAATGAAAAATATTTCCTTTATAATATTTTTCATTTCACATTTTTATAGAAAAAGATTTGAGGCCCTGTAGTGGAATTCTCTAACTAACTTTTTGAGTTACCGACAAAAGTCCGTAACACTAAAATGCTTATAATTTCTGTAATTTACGAAAATTTTCGGAAAGTTAGCGACGAAATCCAATAGATATCAATGTTTTCAACTTTAACTTCTTTTTTATATCAAAATTTTGGGTCTCAAGGTTACCGAATTTTGTCGGTAACTTAAAAAATGCGTTAGAGAATAACATTACTGCTCTGTTCCAGAATACATGTACTTTGATATTTTGTCTGTTCCAGAACTGCAAGAATGTAAAAGTTTTTACTACGATAACAAATTTTCCCTTTATGATATCGAAAAAATTGCAAAACTAGTAGATTTTTGCATGTTCTGGAGCACAGCAATAGTAACATATTCTACTTTTTTTATAATATTTCATCTTAATACAGAAAAAACTTGTAACACTTACTGAAAATGAAGCATAAAAATATGAGGTTCTCTTTTTCTACTTTTTCAAGACAAATTTGGCCGTGTTGCCAACTTCTTGTCGGTTTGCCAACTTCTGATTGGCTGATTTATTGATTTTAAAGGATTGCTATACAATTTTAACATTTTTACTAGATTCTTTGTTCGTTCCCCTACTTTCTGGCAAAGCAGTTCTCTCTGAGAGATTTTACTAATTCTCACCTTTAGTTGTATTACCCTTAAGAAAAGTATGGGAACACAACAGGTGTTTAATTGAAATGTAAAAAGCAGTTATTAAACAAAAAAAAAAAATCGTACAATAAAAATATGAGTCCCTGTTTTATATAAATCAATTTAATTAGGAGTATAACTATATACCCTACTATGATATGTGTGTTGAATAATAAAATTTCAATCTCCACATCATTTCATTTATGTCATTTTCTCGTTAAATTTCTGAGGTATTTATATACTTCTTCACCCTCTACCTCTCTCATTAACAATTACCTGTTGATTACTTCCCATGTCATAGAAGAGATAGAGAGGGAGAGAGAGGGCTGATAGTTCATCATTGACTTATTTGGCCACGACAAAGGCACAAAATGTCAATTCTTTAACCTTGATTAGATTTAATTGGATGGTTGTCTGTCTGTCTGTCTACAAATGAAATTAAAGAAAGGCAAAGAATTGAATTTAAATACAATGAAATTTGCATAAATTGCATTCAAACACACACACTCACACAATTCTACTAAATTTAATAGTTGGAACTAAAAATAAATTAAACAATTAATTGAAATAAATTCGAAAAAGGTATGGACTTCTCTTAACAAAACTGCAAACAAATGCATGACGAAATTGTTTTTTTTTTTTTTTTTTGCAGTGCAACAAGCAATGGGAGACTATTTCGTCGATTAGTTTGAGTGAGGGGATGTAGGTAAACAACAATTCGATGCAATTTGAGGTTTCAAAATAAGAAAAGCTCCAATATTAGAAAAAAAACAAGAACAATTGATTTATTTGAATACTAACAACAAAAAAAAAACAAACGTTTAATTTCGATTTGACTCAGTGGGCAAATGGCCAAATAGATGCATCAAATGTTGACAATCAATAAATAAAGCGCCACGATCTCTATTTGTTGGATGATAATCACGATGATGATGATGTTATATTAATGTGATAAACCACAATCGAAGATAAACCCATGAAAGCCCTTGTAAATGATAACAACTAGACAAATCTATAAATTTAAAGGAAGACCAAATTAAAAACAATTATCAGTTGTTGTCTTTTCCAGATCCTGCAAGAATCTAGAAGTTTTGGTTTTTTCCGATACCATAAAGGGAAAACCGAAATATTCTACTTCATCTAATATAGATAAAAATATTGTCATGGGCAAATTTTAAAGGAAATCGAACATTTATACTCAATTTTATACGAATTCATAAATTCCGATGAATTACATTATTCATATCAGATTTCTGGCTAAGAGAAATGTTTAGATATAGCAAGTTATGACAGCTATTAGTATTGGAAATTGTGATCCTTTGTGGGTGATGTACTAGAAGGGGTTAGCAGATATCTGTCATCTTCATAACAGATTTTGCGTTAACAAAAATGTTTGGATGTGGGAAATTTGAAGAGAGCCGGATGATTATTTCGCGTTTTATGAGCGTTTTGTTTTTCAAAATTTTGAACCCTTTATAAGGGAAGTAACAGAAGGAATGTGCCGAAATGTACCATTTTCACACAGATCTTGTGTTAGTAAAATAAAAGCATGTGTGAATATTAAGAGAGCGGGATGATTGTTTCAGATTTTATGATTCAAAATTTTGACCCTTTTGTGGGGGATGTACCAAAAGGAGTGGAGCGATGAACTCCATTTTCACAGTAAATATTGTGTTAGTAGAAATAATGGGATGTGTGTAACATGAAGAGAACCGGATGCTTATTTCGGATTTTATCCTTTTGTTTAATCAAAATTTTAACCCTTTGTGGGGGAGGTACCAGAAGGAATGGTTCGATCTCTACCATCTTTATAACAGATCTTTTGTTGATGGAAATATTGAGATATGCCAAGTCTTAATGGAATCTAATGTTAATTTCGCGTCTTATGAGCTTCATATATATTCAAAATTTTAACCCTTTGTGGGGGAGGTACAAGAAAGAGTGGACCGATATATTCTGTTGATGTGTGTAGTTTGAAGACAATCGGACTCTTACATAACAAGAGTTACAATTATTCAAAATTTTGACCCTTTGTGGGAAAGGTAGTTGATGCAGTGGAACGATATTGTCCATTTTTGACCTGACCTAGCACTGATGTAAATACTAGGATTTGCAAAGTTGACCAAAACGGATTACCCTTTCTTTTTCTGTGCAGAAAAACATTTTTTTCAAATTTCGAGGTACCAGAAGTATTGGACCGATATTGCCCATCTTCGAACTCGATTTAAGTTTTATAATAATATTCGGATACTCTTGAGAGTTATCGTGCACACCAGACAGACAGAAAGATGGACGGACGGACATCGCTAGATCGACTCCAAATGTCCTGAAACGGATTTGGTCCAAAAAGACCTAGGGTCTAAAATCGTTATTTCGTTGAGGCACGTTTCGGCCGTATCAAATGATATATAACCTCCATGATAAAATCACACAAGTAGGCGCATCAACACAGCTGCTGATACAATGAGCTGTCAAACCAATTTTGGAATTGAAATTTTTAAATGAAAAAAAAAAAACGAAAACCTCCGATTGGCGTTGTATAATAAAAGCTTTTAAGATCTATTTATTTTTGGAGTGAGTGAGTGTCGATGCATCTACCAAGAATTATGAGCCATATGTAAAATGTAAAATTTGACATACCAACGGAAATACACATGGATAATAAAAGTGACAGCACATATGTAAAACCCTCTAGGTCAAATTACATAAAAAGCTTTTTTGACTGGCTTAAGTCATCGGCTGACTTCTTCGTAGAGAAACAAAGGAGTTTTAGGTTGACTTAGTTCGATTTCGGCCATAGACATCTTTATCGTGTGATAGCATCTTAAAACTACCAAAATCTGAATGAAAGAAGATTATTGTTTACCTCTCAGTTATTTTATTGTTAGTTCATTTTTCTTGGTTCCTTGAATTTTGAATTGTTAGGGTACAAGTACATAAAAAGCTTGAAGTCATGGCTAGGCATATTAATGTCAAATTATAATGGAAAACGACGGCAGGATTTTAGAGCGGCTCTGTAATCCCTTTATGAAATGTCACAAAATATGCCTAGCCATGACTTCAAGCTTCTTATGTACTTATACCTTTAGCCTTTCTAGCCAATGTTTGATGATTAAATACAACTCTGATTCAAGACAATTTATCATGTGTCAGTAGAATTTTCGAATTTTTCAAATAATCCATAATACTTGACGTTACCTCTGTTGCGAATTTTTTATGCATTTCTCCTCGTTTTTTCCGTTTGAATACAGCCAAGTGCTGTAAGGTCGATGAAATTTACACAAAATAATCCGATGCGTTCAGTTGCCTTCAATTGATTTTTTCTTGTTTTGTTTCTAACTGGTTTTCTTATTTTGACCGTTTTTTTTGTTGTTGTTGTTGTTTTCTTGAGTCGGCCGGCCGGCAGGTCGGGCGATCGCCCTACCGGCTTTTTGGCCTCCAGTCAGTAATAGCTGCCGGTAACCGGTTTGCTGTTGTCAACCCACCTAAAAAGCTTACTTTTTTGTTGGCATTGTAAGTACTACCCACTTTTGGTAAGTTCATTCTCAATTCATCCTCTTCTGCTGTTGTCCCGATGCTTCCGTTGCTTCTGCTTGAATTGTCTTTTCGTTTAGGAGATTCTTATCTTATAGAAATATTTGCAACGTTAATTGGCTTGATTCGTGCTCGTTGCATACAGCGCCCGAATGGTGGTATGCAACAATGGTGGTGGCATGAAGATGTAGGTATGCTCTCCACGACAAGAAGAAACCCCAACAATCATCCAGAGACATTCAAAAATAACTGCAAATAGTGATTCATGTGTGCATGCAATTTCCAAGCAACAGCAACAGTTTGCCGCATCTGTCTGGGTACAGTTTTCATGACAACGCCCTTCAGTTGCCATCTGTATTTGGAATTTCACTTCCAATTTATTCATAAATAACTGTGTTCACCTTTTTGTGGAGCACACCGAGTGACGTAAATTGCATGTGTAGTTAATGGGTCTTCACTGTCATAAGTAAATCGGAAACCGTTTTCGTCTCGACGCTATTTTCACAGGAATTTCTGTGGGTGCAGTAAAAGCAAAAACCCATGCAAAAGTAATACTCGACGAAGAAGACCAACAAGGTTTCTTTGAATCGGATCATGAGACAACTTTATGCACGTAAATGTGCAGTCAAATCCATTCAACCGTTGGAAAATGAAAGTAGGAGTTAAACGTCATTAAAAACAATTTCCATTATACTAAGTCTTCTGAAGCTAATGTCGCCAGAATAGACAGAGCTTTGCTGCGTTTGCTGCTTTTGGGGCGTAGTTTAATTAAATGTTAAGACATCTCATGGTAGAAGAATAAAGGTAAATGTATCAACGCTTGGGATAATTGATATGTCAAAATTTTTAAAATGTTTTATCAAAAATAAGTAGATTTTTAGATATTTCCTTATATGACGCAAATCGGAGGTTGTTATAATAAGCATTTTTCAAAAATTTTTACAAATTTAAATATTTTTTCATTCAACATTTTCAATTCCAAAACCAGTTTGACAGTTCATTGTCCCAGCAGCTGTGTCGATGCGACTACCTGAATTCTTCTACCATGAGACATATTTCGTCTTATAGCATGTTTACATTAGGGCTTTTTGCCAGCTTAACACTCTTTATGAGTACCGTATTCAAGCGCGGTAGTGTGATTTCTTTATATTTGGCTGGAAAACCACAAGTGGCTATCGTTAGAGTACTCCAGCATTTAAATGTGAATAAATCTTTCTTGTCTCGTACCATCGCTCGTTACCATAATACTGGTAGCGTTTCCCGACGTCAAGGAAGTGGACGGGGATTGTTTGAAATTTCATATTTGAGGTTCCTAATAGGTACTACAGTCTGGAACAGAAAATTGACTATGGAGCTCCAAGTCTTCGCATAGGCCCCACATATCAGTACCTCCCTATATTCGGTATTTTGACGATTTTAGGAACAATATTCACCGAAATTGTTTCATATTTCCTATTTGAAGTTCCTAATAGTTACTACAGCCTGTGACAGAAAGTTGTCTATGCAAGTCCAGGTCTTCATATCGCCCCCCATATATCGGTACCTCCCTAATGCTGTATTTGGATAATTTTAGCTACATTATTCCCCGGATTTTTTCAAGACTCGTATTTGGGTATTGTAATGACCTATGGCAAAAGTTGCCTGGGCAGGTACACGTCTTCGAATAGACCCCAATATAACGGCAATATTCTGTATTTTTTAACATTTTAACAGAATTTTAACGGATTTTATTTATTTATTTATTTATTTTTTTTTGAGAATTGCCAAAATTCGTTCAAAATGGCGGAGAGTATTAAAAATTACTGTTTTTTTACTTGTCAAATGTTATAATATGGATACACGCATTTTTTTGAACATTTTTACAAATTTAAGTAATTTTTTATTCAACATTTCAATTCCGAAATTGGTTTGACAGTTCATCGTTCCAGCAACTGTGTCGATGCGACTACCTGTATTCTTCTACCATAGTAAGAATTCTTCAAAAGTGAAACAATCGATTCTCACATGGTAGAAGAATACAGGTAGATGCACCAACGCTATTGATATGTCAAAAAATTGTAAATGTCTTTTCAAATATGAGTAGATTTTTATATGTTTTCTTAGACGACGTCATTTCTGAGGTTTTTATAATACGAGTTTTTCAACAATTTTTGCAAATTTAAATAATTTTCCATTTAACATTTTCAATTCCGAAATTGGTTTGACTGTTCATTGTCTCAGCAGCTGTCTCGATGCGTCTACCTATATTGTTCTACCATGGTCAAAATTGAAAACGGAAGATAGATGGACCTCGAAAACCTTCATTATGTTCGTCAAAGAGCTTTCCAGTCATTGGACATTTTTTTAATGTTGTTTCGTCCGTTTGTTTGGTCTTTAAAAAATGAAAGTCCATTGTTTACAACTACAAGGAAATTATATTATTTTACATCGTGACGTTTCGGGTATATTACCGCTAATTACTTTATACCTACAGTACTGTAAAATATCATGTGCGTCCATTGATCAATAACATAAGATGCTATCTTAAAGACCATGACAATATGTTTTTTTTATCTTATCAATAAAAAGCGTAATGATTTCCAAATTGAGATGGCTACATACCTATTAAAATGAACTCATTTATCAAAAGTATTTTTATAACACCTTTTGACCTAATTATGATAACAAGTGGATTAAAAACAAGAACCCCTCAGAGAAAAGTGTATTTCAAAATTTGGCAAAAAATAGAAGGCCCTGATATTGAAAAGATTTTTTTTTTAAATAAACATAAATTAAAAATATCTCTCTTTGATTGTTTTTCATTTAAGACATAAAACATGGCCGATGAAGCACCAGCTGCACCACCCGCCGAAGGTGAGGCACCAGCAGCACCCGCCGAAGGCGAGGCACCACCACCAGCTGAAGGCGAAGCCCCACCAGCTGAACCCGTTAAGAACACCTACACTCTATTCTATTTCAATGTCAAAGCCTTGGCCGAACCATTGCGTTATCTCTTCGCCTATGGTGGCATTGAATACGAGGATGTTCGTGTAACTCGCGATGAGTGGCCAGCATTGAAGCCAAGTAAGTTTCGCAGATTTTGTTCCATTTTGATGCAATTGAATTTTTCCTACGTCCGTTAATTTTTATAGCCATGCCCATGGGTCAAATGCCCGTTTTGGAAGTTAACGGCAAGCGTGTTCATCAGAGCATTTCAATGGCCCGTTTCTTGGCGAAAACTGTGGGCTTGTGCGGTGCCACACCCTGGGAAGATCTACAAGTTGATATTGTTGTCGATACCATCAATGATTTCCGTCTAAGTAGCGAACAATGTGTGCAGTTGCATGTCTATGTTGTTTGATTAATCTTTGTATTTTAATATATAGAAATTGCAGTCGTTTCCTACGAACCCGAGGATGAAATCAAGGAGAAGAAATTGGTCACCCTTAACAATGAAGTCATTCCATTCTATTTGGAGAAATTGGAACAAACCGTCAAGGATAACGATGGTCATTTGGCATTGAACAAGGTGAGTGATCAGTAGAAAAAAAAATGTTTTTTATTTCAAGTTTTTAATTAAAGAAAAGAACACCATATTATCTAGAGCATACCTTTAGGCGCATGATACAATTTTAATTGTACTGATGGGCAAGGAGCTAGATTTTTATTTTTCTTCTTAAATAAACACTCCATTTATCAGTATCACAAAATTTGTTAGGTAAATGGTGAAAAGGAAACGATTTTCAAAGGATGTTTTTAGATGGAACAACTTCTACAAGTGTTTAAAATATAGTATTTCTTTTGCAGATATTCCTTAGATAGAACAACTTTTCAGGTCTTCTATAGGAAGGTCTTCTTCTGCAGTTGTTCCATTAATAGACCGACAGCTTAATGTGACCTAGGTTCAATTTAGTCTCTTGTGGTGTAGGGTATACAATTTTCACATTTTGTGCATTTCAGATTTGGATACAGCTCCCATATTTCTTTGTCCGATATGCCATTTATTGTGCACCGAACATACAATATTAGCCCAAATAGGATGGAATTTGGTACTTACAACCAAATTGAGCCTAGAAATAAGTATATCAAATTTGGTGAAAATCGGATCAGATATAGCTATAGCTCCCATATAGATTGTTTATCCGATTTTTAAATTTGTCCTCCTCAACCGTTATATGCACTCCGTAACAACGATATTCGGGGAAATATATCAAATACAGCTCAGAAATGAAGATTGGTTCAGTTTTGGATATAGTTCCATATACAGGGTGAGATAAAAAACTGCAAAAAGTCAAACGCCATAATTTTTACATTTTTTTTTAATTTTATTGAATAAAAGCAAAAAATTTTGGAAATAGCATCAAATTTTAGAATAAGTTTACATTTTTACGAATTAGTCAACTTTGGCACGAATTATGGCTTTCAAACGGTCAATGTTTGCGTGCCTAAGGCTTTAATACACCCTCCAGAATATTTTCGCGATAATATTCGGCATTTATTCTAATGCCACGGTCGATTAATACGAGCGGACCATCGGCTGCTATGGCGGCCCACACCATTACCATGGCCGGAGCTTGAGTTCTGGTGGCCAGCCGAAGGTGCACATTTTCAGCTGACCTCTTTGGCAAGTAAACACACACGATCATTTTGTTTGTTTACAAATTGCTGCACAACGAATGTTTTCTCATCGGAGAAAACCAAATTCGGCAGTGCACCACTTTCGGCCTTTTTGGAATTTCAATGGCTTTACTCCGAGCTCATTTTTCAATATATGTCGAATGGAATATTGCGATATGTTCAGCTCACGAGCCATTTTTCGGCCACTGCGACGTGGGTTTCGAGTCGCTTGTTTACTTTTCGAGTCGTTTCTGCTGATGTTGCTGTTTTTTTCCGTCCACTTCCTTGACGTCGGATCACGCTACCAGTATCACGGTAACAAGCGATGGTTCGAGACACGAATGACCTATTCATATTAAAATCCCGGAGTGCTCTAACGATAACCACTTGTGGTTTTCCAGCCAAATATAAAGAAATCACACTATCACGCTTGAATTTCATTCCATTTCTGTTTTTTTTTTTTTTTTTTTTTTTTTTTGCAAAATTCTCACCAAAATGCCTTTGTACGCTTGTAAACAATATAATAAGCCGTCACTGGAATAATTTTAACAGCTGTCGGACGAATGGTTTAGAAATGACAGCAGTCTGAAGTTGGTTGCAGTTTTTTCATTTCACCCTCTATATCTTTACCTGATTTCAAGTTAAATATGCACCAAACGGGTATTATCAGGCATGTCACAGAAGTTTTACGAAATCGATTTATTTCACCTTTTCCAAATCGTTACGATTTGCTTTTGCTTCTTCAGCACTCGTACGTTTTGGCTAAACCGAAAAAAAATCATTTCACATTTTTGAAATAAAAATATGGTAACTCCATGCAAAAAAAGTCGTAAACAAATTATTGACAATTAAAAAAAGAGTTTAAATTGTTTTTTATAATATAAACACCAAAAGTAAAAATGCCAGGGGCTTCAATACTTGCTGTAATGGATGAAGAAATAAATCAGCGGTCTACTGAAAAAATTCGTCGCCGGACATTGAGGAACGCATCAGATCCTTTATCTCACTCAAATGCAGAGTAAGGATCCACCATTTTTAGTCCATTGTGTAAAATAATGTAAAGTTAAGAACGAGTCGTATTTGCTTTTTCCTGTTCTAAAGCATATTTAAGAGTTTCAAGTTCAACTATTTTGAGTTTCATTTCGTTCCGTTCACGCATTCTCTTTTGCATTTCAATATTATGTAACTGCTCTTCCACATACTTTTTTTCCAGGATGTTACAAAGTCTGTCCAACTTTTCAGTTTGTTTTTTCATTTCCTTACTGTTATCTTCTAGAATTTTACAAATTTTTTCCAAGTTTTGTAAATGAGAATTTTCCTCAACTAAAAGCGCATTTAGATCTTGCTTTGAGGGAGTTCTTGCCCGGGGTCTTTTTACTTCAGGCGTGGGTTTTGCTTTTGTTAGGCTGCCCGACACTTGTCTTATTGCTGTAGATGGCGGAGAACACGATAAGCTTTTATTTCTAAGTCGTTTTTGAATAGGTGTTCGCGAACGGTTTTCTTCCAATGTTGGTGTTCTTGGATCAATTGCCAATGTAGAAACATTTTTAAAAGCAGCTGGAATGCATGATCTTGGTCTATCTTTTTTATTTAAAATCGAAGTGGTCTGCTTTGAAGTTTAGGGTGAAAAATTAAGATCTTCGTTTTCAGATTCACTTAAAACTAATTGACTTGTTTTTCGAGTTCTTGGAATATGTGTAGATGATGACGAATCAAAGTTTTTTTTCAGAATAACTGAGGTCTAATCCACTTACAAAATCCGCAAAGCTTACTGCACCACCAACTCCATCGACACTTTTATACAATCCGCAAATTCTGATTAAACTGTTCTCGTGTTCACTGAAAACATATTGATTGATATCACCACCACCAGTTCCTCGCAAGTCCTTTTTATTATTTTTCATCATGGATTAGAAAAATAATAGATTTTTGTAAAATAAATTCCAAAAACATGTTCATTCTAAGAGAATTTGGTTAATACAATATTTTCTGTAAAATGTATGTGTCTTCTGTTTATTTTTTACGTTAAAATCACTAAACATTTCAATTTCACCCTGCTTTTTGAAAGTGATATCAAAACGCAAAATTTTTGCGTTTTCCGTTTTTTAGAGAAGCTAAAACCGTTTTCGTTTTCACTCTTGAACGATTTTACATTCTGTGACATGCCTGCATAAGACCGAATTGAAAAGACATTAATGCCTCAACAAATTTAGTAGAAATCGATTCTGAGAATTATTTTTGTTTCTTTTTTCTATAAGAAATATTGCATGAATTCTGTGAGCAGATGATCTACAGAGTTTCTACAAACAGGAGACCCATATATGTACATGGGGAGTAGTACAACACAATAATTTATATTATAACATGATACAATTAAGAGGTACAACGCCATCGTAAAACTGAAGAAATATAGCCCTGAGGCTATGCCCGCTTCCTGTCAAATTTGCATGCAACAACTAGTTTTCATCTATTCAATATTATTCCTCTTTTTTTAAAATCAGTTAAATGCCTGGATTTTCTTTCAAAAATATGATCTAGACGGTTCTATCTGTCAATTCCATGGTAAAACTGGCGAATAGCTTAAATGCGCGTCTCTCAATTTATGCGTCTTCCAATCATTAATTTTGAAAATATTCGGTTTTAATTTTTCAAAACAATAAATACATACACAAAATTAGCAGAAGTCGGGCACACTTAGAAAAAATTGTAATCAGCTGGTAGCTCTACCTTACCTTTTTATTGTACCATGATATTATAATACAATTACTATTAAACAAAAATGAATTACAGAATCTGTACAAAAAATCCCTTTCATCCTCAAATATTCCTTTTCGCAAACCAACTGATTTGAATTCATGTTTATAAATATTGCAAATTTTTATTCACAATTGTGTTTTCAATTTTGTAACTAATTAAAAAATATATATTTTTTTCGATTTTAGTTAACCTGGGCCGATGTCTACTTTGCCGGCATTTTGGATTACATGAACTACATGGTGAAGCGTGATATTTTGGAACAATACCCAGCATTGCGTGGCGTCGTCGATAGTGTCAATGCCTTGGAACCCATTAAGGCCTGGATTGAAAAGAGACCACAAACTGAAGTCTAAACAAAATTTCAATTTCTCTTGCAAACACACCAACGCCAACACCAACGGGGATATAGCAAAAGAAAAACAAAAACATTTATATGAAAAACCAACACTAACTAAAAATCAAAACAACACCAACAACAATATACAATTTAACATCAACAACAACAACTGTATTGTTTTACACTTAACACTTTGTTCCTTTCTTTTTTTGTAATAATAATAATAAAATAATATGAAGCATACATCATAAAGATAACAATAATAATTACATATATATTATTAATAATAAACAAAACTATATAAAAAACTAACAACATTTTTGTTTAACCACTTTTTGTTTTGTTTTTATTTTATCTTTTTTACTTATTTTGTAATTTTTTTCTTTAATGGCATGGACTATTAAAGCATTATACATAGTATCCACACACACAAATACTACATATTTGTCAATATAGTAGGTGATTTCCATTTATGGGGCTAATGGAAATCACAACTGGCTATGTTTTTGTATCTGTTCTCCATGTTAAATGTGGATCTTAACCAAAACCCAATTCTGACCCATTGGCTATGGCATAATGCTTAACGATTTTCGCTACTTTTATGCGAAATCC